ATTTCTGGCTTGTGCAAAGGTATCACACCTGGAGGGACATATATGTGGTGCCAGAGATCAAATTGCGGTTGGCTTCATGCAAGGCAAGCGCATGACCTCCTCTACTATCTCCCAGCTCCCATTTTGCTTACTCTGATAAACACTAGCATGTGTTGTAAGGATCACAAGCTGTATGGCAAGCCAAAAGCTCAGCAAAGAAGCAAGAGAATGAAAAATAAAGTGACTTGTGACTAGAGATTGAAAATTGTGTTTACATATTATTTCTAGATCCTGTTTCTAACCATTATTGAATTGTTATAATATGTTTATTATATTCCTTTTAAATGCTGGATCACAATAAATGATTATATTTTATAACTATGAGACATAATTAAATTCAGGTTAGCATTTCAGTACTTCCTTGAACATGATAGCTAATCATATTAGATTTTTCAAATTAACCCTAACTTGATAACATCTGCTTTTTCGGTCATAGACTAGGCCAAATATTGGTTTAGGAAATCTTAATGAAATAAAAACATAAGCAAATCTCTGTGAATATTAGGTTAATGGCAGAGCATATAAAGTCCTGGACATTTATGTATGCGTTTATTTATTTAGTACCACGCTTGACAGTGCTCAAATTTTGCTTCGCACATCACACCAACCAGGACTTTGGGGACTATGTGGGTCGCTGGCAATGGAATCTGAGACTACCGCCTCCAAGGCCAGCCCCTTAGCTGCTGTGCTATCTCTCAGGCCCTGACTTTTGTACCCTTAAGTCATTTTTCTTTGGTTTGATGCAGGGAGCGTACCTGCATATCTGCTAGTGGTCACAGAAAATTCCTGGCTCTGCCGCAGGGTTGCATCTGGCAGTTACTCAGGGCCAGGTGGTGTTGGAGATCTACAGGATTTCATGCATGCAAAGCATTAGCTCAGCCCATTTAGTCTCCTTCCTGCCTCTTAAAAAGTGATTTTTGTTTACTTTCCAATTCAATTCTAATTCTTACTCTTCTTCATATTTGCCAGTATTACAGATGTCTTCTGATACCAACATAAATGTTGTCATTTTCCTTTTAGGCTCAATTTAATATAGGTGTCAATGAAATTAGAACTTTACTTTTTGTCTGATTTTATGCTGACTTCCCATGAACTACCTATGCATCACAGATACTAAAGTTCATGACTTATTATGCAGCAGGTAGAGTTGTTTGTTTTTTTCTGTCTGTCTCCATCAGAGTCAGGTTGATTGGAAGATGTAAGTAAAACCCTCCTTCAGAACCTAAAATGCCATGGACTATTCTTGTTTGAAGCACTGGGGACTATGGAATTTGTAAAATAAGTTATTTTTTTAAGGAAATAAAGAAGGAAATTATTCTGAGAGCAATTTCATCAAACTATACTATCTTGAAAGTCACATTAGAGGCTGGCGGACAACTCATAGGCTCGGGCATATGTGCATATTAGAGGCCCAGGTTCATCCATCACATTAGACAGTCTTGAGCACATCTATGTCAGCATCACCGAAACATATAAACACATGTTAACATATTTGACTAACAGCAAATAATATGAAAAGTTTCCCCAACTCTAGCTGATAGGAAGTACAACATTAAAAGTGCAAACCTTTTGTTATCTTTTTTTTTTCTTTTTTATGGGGTCATTTCCAGCCATACTCAAGACTTCCACCTGACTCTGTGCTCAGGGATACTTCTTGGCAGGCTTGGGGAACCATATGAGGGGCCAGGGATTAAACCCAAGTTGGTCATATGCAGGGTGAGTACCATACATTCTGTACTTAAGCCTCTGAATGTGCAAACTTTAAACACAAGTGGATAAGTTTAATCATAGTTCCACTTTTATCATAGGTCTATTTTCCCTTGGATATCCAATCTCTCAGCCTCCTTTACCTCACTGGGAAATTTGGGGTAAGAATTCTCCTTGTTATTATAACTTGAAAATTAGATAATTTTCCATACACAATTTATATACCTGCTATCTGACCTTCAGGAGGCATGTAAGGTAACTTAGACAATGGACCACTAGATGATCTTCTTAAAAAAATAACACACTGGGGCTGGAGCAACAGCATAGTAGGTAGGGCGTTTGCCTTGCATGCGACCGACCTGGGTTTGATTCCGAGCATCCCATATGGTCCCCTGAACATAGGCAGGGGTAATTCCTAAGAGCCAAGAGTAAGCCCTGTGCATTGCTAGGTGTGACTCAAAAAGGGAAAAAAAAACACATAATGAACAAGGAGAGGACAGTGACAGCGACAGTGACAAAATATAGCCTAAGACTTGAAGCAAGTTTTACAAAGTTTAAGCAAAGAGTTGCTTTACAATTTAAAACTACTAGGAGAAAATATTCCATAAGGTCTTTTCTGTCCTCACAGAGGGGAAAATTATAATCACATGGATGAATATTGGGTTCTGTGTAGTAGAATATCTGGAGGCAAGATGGCACCTGGTAATACAGTGAGAGAGTGAAAGTCTGATTGACGAGGCCAGTGTTGCTGAAACATTTACTACTATTCAGTTGGTCTGAAGTATTTCTCCACTTGTTTTTCAACTGGCATAATTGAAACTGAAACATCTGTGATTATAAAATCTCTTTAAAAGCTACCTTGTAATAATTATTTGTCCACACACACATACATTCATATCAGGTATGTATAATGCATATATTGGATGTAGATGGTTATATATGACACATATTATATATAATTTTCTGAGTTATAACTATAACTGTCATTACTTCTTAATGTAAATATTTCATTACACAATAAATATATCCTTTATTCATTATATTTGTTGAGTAAGAATATCCAATACTGGTTCACTGGGTAGGATGCAGCCTAATACCACTTCTGTCCTTGGCACAAATAATGGTCAAAAATAAAGATTTTTTTTTTCAGCAAATTAGAAGTTTGTCAGAAAAAGGTGGCTCCACATGGTAATTTTTTCAATCCTTATTACCTATATTATTTCACTTAATTTAGATCAAAACTTGGATCAAACCCAGAGTATCGCACATACAAAGTAAAGTGACTGTTTTACTACTGAGCTTCCAGGCTTCCTTTTCAAATGCATCAAAGCTGGTCACAACAGGAATAGTGGGATGAAAAGATAAGTGAGCTGGTAAGTTGTTTGCCTCACATGTGGCCCAACCATGAGAACAGAGAGCACTGTCAGGAATGATCCCTGAGCAAAGAGCAAGTCTGAACACATCTGGGCCTGGCCTAACTCACATCCCCCTTCAAAAGGGGAAAAATAAAACTAAAAGGAGGATGAATGAAAAAGGCTTAGGAAGAATCGCGGCAGCTAAGACACAGGGAGAGTAACAATAGTCATACTCATCATCAGTTATCTTTGAACCCATTGAGAAATTATCTCCCCAGAAAGAAACAGAAATCTCGGTGCAGCAGAGGTCAATAAACATCCTCAGACACTGGCAGAAGTGTTAAGTGGGCATCCTAATCAACATTATCCCTGAGATGCGTGATGGAGAGGAGGTGTGTTGGGCTGGAGTAGGGAAGGTGGGGAGTAACAGCACCAGCGTCACCCTGCAAAGCTCTCCACGAAATTCAGAAAAGTAGCCCATTAATCTAGGCAGTTCCCTGACATGCTGTAAAATACTCCATTCTCACGATACCCATAGAAGCAAGTCAGAGTCACTATTTCATGAAAGGCAAGTCTCATTCTAAACTGCACATTTAAGACACCTTAATAAATTGTTTCAGAAAAGCAGCTAGATACTTATCAACACACTTGAGCAAACCCAAAATAGGTAGAATTTAATTTGTTTAAGTATCATCCTATATTGATGTGTATTTATAGTTCATAAGCTTGCTTCATTATTTGGAAATCATTTTTAAGCATACTACTACAGAAAAAGATTAAATAGTTGCTGTTACAAAAATGTCTAGAGGTCTAATCTATCACTTGATTATATATACTTTGTGCAATCAAATCATCTTATTATACATTGAATAGAGATTTACTATGATATGGAGTAAAAACATCAAATTTATTTACATTTGAAACAAAGTAGTAAAAAAAACTTCACGGAATTAAATCAAACTTTGGGAAAAGATTTTGGTCCCATTTCTCTAAAGAGTTTTAACAAATATATGAGAAAATCTGTTCAGAGGAAATAATGTATACTATTTTCTCCAAATTATTAAAGAAAAACTATCGTAAACTATGTAGAATAGAACCTTTGTCTCAAGCCATCCTTGTTTGATAACAAGGAATGATTGTAAATGCAAAAGCCAGGATTTCAATAAGGACATTAACTTAATCTCGTAGCAGAAGATACTTCCATTCAAAATTAAGCACTAAAGAAATTTTGGAGGCTAACTTTTCCTTTTTTATTAATATAGCTTATAAAAGGATTTCATCACACTTGTGAAAGAACTATATGTCATTACCCATGGTATATTAATTCCTTTCAGTTCATTTTTCTTAACAGCCATACCAGAAACTTTATCATCTAAATTAGAATTCCTAAATGGACACTATTAAAATATTCGCGGATTTAGTCCTAAATCCTCTTCCCCGGAGGGAGCTGAGGAGCATTGCTAAACTGGAAAGCTGCGCAAAATCCCAACTCTCATTTGCAAAATTCCCTTCCATCTAGTTTTACTTTGAAGCTCCTGAGACTCAGATTCGACCCTAGGACACCGACAAAACACTTCAAACGCAGTCAAGTTACCTTAGCAGGACACAGTGCTCTGGATTACTAACAAGGTAAAATGAGAAAGGAAGATGCTTTAGCTTTTCTTTTCCTCTCTTTTAACGCCAGGCAGCACACTTCTATTTCCAAAGAAGTTCCCCTGAAATAGCATGATTTCCAATGCTGGCTTTGCTTCTTGGACACTTGCTTGGAAACTCAGCCTGTCTTCCAGACACACACACAGTCACTTGCTGCAGTGCAGAATGTCAGTTTAGTCAGTTCGAACTTTCAATGCAGAAATTCAGTGCCTTGCAGTCCCCGGCACGGAGCACGGGGGCACTTACCTTAATTGCAATATTCTCTGGGAACGCGGTGAGAAATCAGCCAAATGGAGCGAGCGAGACCACCGGGGTGGGGAGAGGGAAGTTTTCAATCAACACCTTCCAAGGAGCCGCATGCTGCGCTGCTCTTTCCTGTGGATGCTCAGCCCCGCGCTGTCTAGGAGGACAAAAAAAGAGATGCTGAAATCCTCTGAGCTTCCCGGGAGTCAATGAGGACTGAGAGAGAGACCCGACGCCCTGAGCCTGCTGCATTCGGAGACTCCCTAAGTGCTGTGATAGGCTCCTGCCAGGTCCCCGGAGCTGGGCGATGATCATTGACCTGATTAGCAAGGCACACTCCCTGCGCACATGGAACCGACGCGCGGGCCGGCCGGGGGCCCCTGGGCACAGGGACCTGCACCCGGGCCATGGGGGAAGCGTGTCTTTGGCAGCTCAGGGCACGGACCACACAAGGCAGACTGGCATTTGCGGAGAGATGAGCCATCGGGTTCAGCCACTCAGGGGCTTAAACCCAGGGGCTTATCTCCTGCTGTTTTACAAGGTGCATTTGTGTTAGAGAGCAGGGATGGGCAGACAATTAACGGGCTGGTCCAGCTGATGGGGATGACAGGAAAATGCGTAAAGCAAGGTGATGAGAGAGAGTGGCGCGTGTCTCAGCCCTGAGCCTGATACATACTTCAATCTCTGGATAAGTGAAAGGCATTTAAAGGTCTATCAGAGCCCTCTAGAGTGTTACTCTTTCTGATTCATATGCATACATGTGTACATATGTATACATATATATGCGTATATACATACATACTAGATAAGCATGTTTGCCAGGTTTTACACACACACAGCACTGAAACCAAACACCAAATCCTGGGAGCAATGTTCTGTTGCTGGTGTAGTTTTTCAATTACTTTAAATTAGCATCACATCACGCAAAAAGTTTGTGTTATGCCATTAACCTGAGTAACAGAATATATATATATATATATATACATATATATATATATATATAGAATTAACCCCTAACTGAATCAGTTCTTTTATTTGCTGCCGGGACACTGCTTCTTTTTAAAAGCAGGAAGCAAGGTGTAAGAAGATGAGAAATTTCCAACAGCTTTTCTAATCTATGTGCAGATGCCATTAACAACCTGCTGTTCCCATCCAATGATCGCCTGAGAAGCTTTGCAACATCAAAAGGTACCAAGTCCACCCCTCCCCCTTCCAGAGTTCTATATCTTTCCAAAAAGGTCTCAGGACTAAATGGTACAGCCCCAAATGGGTAATTTTTGACAGCTCTCACATCTACAAGAGAAAAATTTCTACTAATATAAAATGAACAGATTAAAAAACAGTCATTTGCATGCCATGCGGGTGAGAAAAATCTCATTGCCAGGGAGAAAACTGACAAATGTCCCCTCACACAGATATTGTGTGAGAGTCGCACCATTTCTAAGTTTCCAAGTAGGTCTCACTTGGGACATATGGCATTCCCTTGGGATGTGTGTGTGTGCATGTGTGTGTGTGGTGTGTGTGGGGGGGGCGCTGAGAAAGAGAGAGGGTTTAAATTTGGGCAAACCCCACATTTCAATAGAAGAAAGCTTGAAACATATTTAAAGATAGTTTTTCATATTTATTTCCAACCTTATAACAATAACTAATATTTTAAATTAAAATAGGATTCATTGGATAAAAGAATTTCTGAAACTGAGGTGTTGGCAGATACTTCAACTTAAAAGATGAGCTCTTGTCCACCTCAGGAGGGCTGAGTTGTTCCAGACAGATCAGGTCTCTTGCTCCCTCAGCTGGTGGAGGGGAGAGAGACCAATTGAGCGAACACACTGAGATTCATTTTGATGCTGCTAAGCAGAAAACCCATTATTCAAGTGGAGATTGGCACTTGTTCTAGTAAGAAAAAAAATTTTAAAAAATGATGAAGAAGAAGATGCTTCAATAAGATTATGTACTTGAGTAAGTACTGTAAACAAGAACTATAACTTTTAAAATCTTCTATACAAGTACAATTTGTTACAACAACTCTCATTTGTAATGGAGTATCTGTTGGATGGCCAGGGTGCTGAAGTTTAGAGGATTAAACAGTAAACAGTAAATATCTGTTGGGCTTAGCCTCGCTTTGAATTCAACTAACATGCTTGTCACCTTACAATATTTTAAAAGTATTTAATTCTGTGATTGTTTTTATTTCTAGCAATATGGTTACCTGCTAAAACAAAGGCACACTAAATTGCCTTGGGGTCAGTGACTTTCTTTTATCTAGAAAGCCCAAACAGCATCAGATTACAGTGTTGATACTTCTAGATGTCTATTATACTTGTTTCTAAAAATCCAAGAGTTTTTGATTTCAACTTTTTCTTTCTAACAGTGTATGAATCTATACACTGGTATTTTTTTAAAAATCTATATTAAACAGATAAATGATAAATAATTTCATATGGAATGACACGTATGATGAGCAAAGCAAAATAATGGTATATTATTGAGTGTGGAAATGACTATTTATTGTCCTATATATTAGTTTAACTGTAGTTATTGTCCATGAAGGCTTAGAACAATCCTATTTAGTGGGAAGTATTATCTTTTCAATATTTTTATTACCTAATCTAAAGCTTTAAGAAGTTAAGTAAATCTGCCTCTGCCACAGAACTCAATGCAGAGCAAACTGGAATTGCAAATTCAGGTCATTTTAATTGTAAAATGAACTATATGCTTAGAAATTTCAAAACATTAAAATCAACAAAAGTATTATTCCCTTTAAACAGGATTTGGAAAAAAAATATTTTTGGAGGGCTAGAGATACAGTACAGAGGGTCACGTACTGCATGCATTACATGCAGCTGACCAAGATTCCTTTTCCTGCCCTATTCATGATCCCGTGAGCTCTACCAAGGAAGATTCCTGAGCACAGGAGTGAGGCCTAAGTACAGACAGGTTTGAACCTCCTCTTCAAAAGTCTTACTGTTATTTGCAAAACACAATTTGTATCCTTAAATATCTGGTTTTGTGATTTATAAACATTATACTATAATCTTTTAATCTCAATTGACATAAATGTTTTGATAAAAATTAAAATTTAATATTTAGCTATATTTGCCCAAAATTTATATGGAACTTGCAAATAGTAGAATTTCTTTACATACAGTGGGAATTAAAAGTGTTTCATTTATGCAGCTGCTTCCTCTTCTTCCTCAAATATTGTAATTATGTTTTTAAAGAAGAAATGTCATTATTTTACTTGATACCTATTGTAAGAACACTTACAAAAATATATTAAGTCAAAGTCACAATGATTCCTGGCATCTTAGTCCTCTAAAAATTTATATAATATGAAAGCTCAAAAGAACCTCAGAGATGAAAACAATGTGTTTTTTTAAAATTTTATCTTAACATTGTATAAATCTCATGAATCCTATCTATTTCATATGTTCTGCTGAAATATTTACAGTCATATTCATAGTCTTAAACAATGCAGTGATCACACTTTTTCGAGACTCCCAATAAAACTTCTCTCTAAAAATGGTGATGGGCCAGAGAGATAGGACAAAGGCAGTGTACAGGCTTTGCATCCCAGAAGATTGGGTTTGAGCCTGGACTCTGCATGGTCCCCAGTAAACTGATTATCAACAGGAGGAAACCTGAACACAAAGTCAGGAGAGGTGACCTACCAATACTGTCATTGTGACAACAAAACCAAGATGAAAGGAAAGTCAAAAAGTCTTTGTTTTGTTAGTTTGGGGGGCACACCTGGCAGTGTTTCTATGTATACCTGTCTCTCAGCTCAGAGACCATTCTAATAGTGTTTTGGAGACCAAATGTGGTGCCAGGGATCAAACATGACTCAACCGTTTGCAAAGTCACAACCTACCCTCTGGACTATCTCTCTAGCCTCTACATTCTGAATCAATTGATAGAGCTAGTGAAATTATGTATCTGCACTATTTTCCTTTTCTGGTCAGGCAGATACTCTGTGTACTAGAGAATGTGCATTGTATGCAGCATTTCCTGATTTGGTTCCCAGCACTAGATTCCCAGAGCCCCAGAAATGCGAGGAGTGACCGCTTCCAGCAGTAAAGCACTAGCACAGAGTCAAAACTAAGCTCCTGAGTAGTGTGGTGGTACACTTTTTTTAATTAAAAAGAAACAACCATGACTCATTAACTTCTCTTTTATGAAAATCTCTACCAATGATCTCATCTCATTTTTACAAAAATTATTGAAAATTTTTAGAATATTTTTAAACAATGGTAAAAAGATGAGAACGCTATTCAGGTCTCCCAAAGAAGAATAGAAAGAGCTATGCTTGGAATATCACGTTTCACTCAAATGAGAGAAAGAATCCAGAGTTCTGACATCCGTCGATGATCAAGAATCAGGGACGCTGTCTCATTTGCCAAGGTGTCAAAAATCAGATGGGCTGGTCACGTAATGAGATTTAAAGATGACCGTTGGACTAGAGCTGTTACTGATTGGATTCCACGGGATGTCAAAAGACCGCGTGGCCGCCCACCTACCAGATGGTCAGACTTCTTCATCAAGATCATGAACGATCGGTTTGAGGCCCTTCATGCTCCCGGAGAGAACAGATGTCATTGGGCTATACTAGCACGCAACAGGGACAAATGGAGACGTTACTGGCGCCCGCTCGAGCAAATCGACGACTAACGGGAAGTTAAGTGATTAAGTGAATGGAAAACTAATAAAACACCAAATTAGAAATGTCAAGAGCAAGCTACTGTCCTTTGGTCTTTTATTATTTTGATTTTTTATTGAATCACTTAGTCACAAGGCTTTTGTGATCGAGTTTCAGTCATACAATATTCCAACACCCATCCCTCCACCAGTGTAGAATTCTGATCCCCAATGCCCCCACTATTCCTTCTGCCATCCCCCATACCCGCACTCAGCTGCCTCTATGGCAAGCACTTTCTTCTTCTTTCTTGTCCTTCTTGTCCTTCTTGTCCTTCTTTTCCTTCTCCTCCTCCTCCTCCTCCTCCTCCTCCTCCTCCTCCTCCTCCTCCTTCTCCTTCTCCTTCTTCTTCTCCTTCTTCTCCTCCTCCTCCTCCTTCTCCTTCTCCTCCTCCTCCTCTTTCTCCTTCTCCTCCTCCTCCTCCTCCTCCTCCTTCTCCTTCTCCTTCTTCTTCCTCCTCTTCC